CAATTTAATGTGCACTATTTCTGGCAGTCTGCTTAGGCCTTAAGAATCCATATGGCATTACAACTTGGTAATATATTACAGTGGATATCAGAAAATTTAGTGAACATTTATATTAACATATGAGAAGTTGAGAGTTTTGAGTTGAATTTTACAAGGATTTGGAACCATTTACATTTGGCTAGGATCTAGAAACTTAAAGGTACCAGATCTTGTCTGATTTTAGAAGCTAAGCAGGGTCATGCCTAGTCAGTACGTGGATGGGAGATCACCAATCAAGATCTAGTGCTGTAGGCTATATTACAGGGGAAAGTACTGTCAAAACTACCTGTTGAGTATTTCTAGCCTAAAAAAACTATGAAAAATTCATGGGGTCCCTATAAATTGACAAGCAACTTGAAGACACACATGCACACGCATGTGTACACACACACACACACACACACACACACACACACACACACATTCAACATTATAACAGATTGGGAACATCTTTGCAGGTCATTTCTAGATAATGGCAGCTTTATCAATTGTTAACACAGTTTTATAACTTTATTAGGAGGTCTAGAATGCCTGCTGATATTGCAGCGTTTCTGAGGGATGTTCTTTGAGTTGCTGTTAAGAGTCACACAGTGAAGAGCAATGTGAGAGCCCAGACTAGAATTCTTCCAGCATACTTAATGTCCTCCATGAACTGCAAGTGTCCTCCCTTATTCTTCATGCACATGGAGGAAGATTTGGGGGGGAATGCTTGGAGTCATTTTCAGTTTGTATTGGGCAGTGGTCAGAAAAAGCCATGTGGGTGCTGTGACTCAGTTCACTTGAGTTGTATTTATTTCTTAAAACCAAAGGTCATCATAGAGTGTGAGCCATGACTCACGTTTTGTTTCTGGCAGCCAAACAGGGAGTGTACACCAGAATTCTCTGGAGCATCACAGGTGAATTCTCTGGTACTTTTTTGGCCCTTGGCTTCCAGGTCTAGTAGTACTCATAGTTAGTGCCCGACTTAATAGAATTGACTAGGGATGACAAGTCTTTACCTTTTCCTATGGATGCAGTGTTGTTGATGTTTGTCATGTGGCTTCAAGTTCTTTCTGACTTATGGTGACCCTAAAGTGAAGCATTCATGGGTTTTTCTTGGCAAGATTTGTCCTTCATGCACATTCTGTATACAACTTGGGATTTTGTGTAGTACTGTATTTACATTTCTGATGATCAGGCTTGTATATTTCTGTTGCCCATGGCAAGTATGCCACCAGCTTCTTGCAAATGTAATATGAATTCAAACCTTCTTTCCAAACGTGAAGCTTCAGGGGTGGGCGTGGATCATCCAACAGATGCATAGTAAATGTCAAACTTTTCACAGCTTCAAGGTAGGGATTGGGAAGTAGGCTGAGGTTTTTTTGGACTTAGTTTTATCAAGGTGCTCAGAGTATACCATACGGCAACAAAACCAGCAAATTCTTGGGAAGTTAGTAACATTAGAAGGGGGAACAAGGTCGGGTGACCATGATTGTTGGATAGACCCACTGCTTTTCCTTTGCCAGCTAACTCCATTTCTGTGATTTATTTCACCAGCCTAGTTCTGAGGTCAGATTCTTTAGCCAAGTGGTTGCAGGGAAAGGATTATTAACCTAACTCCTTCCTGAACCCGCCCCCCTTGCTAATGTTCCCTTCACACCTTCACAGGGGCTTGAGAATCCTGTATTAGCCCTTTGATGCCAGCTTCATTTGAGCTCTCATTGATTAAAATAACCTACATTGTTTCAGAACGATTTCAAAATAGAACTGTTTAGCAAAAAGGTCGAAAACCCTCAAGAGTAAACACTCCCAACTGCTTTTTAAATTTGGTATAATTTTTAGAAAATGTAAACAAAAACACAGCTACCCCTGCATATTTTTTAGAAAATGAGCTTGTGCTTATACTATGTGAACCTCTGCAGAGAAAATTCCAAACCCCAAGTGTCTGCTTGCATGATCTCTTGCTCATGTGCTGTTGACTCTCCTGGAACTCTTGTCATTATTTGCAAAAAAAAAAGCTTCATTGTTATCCCTTACACGTGATTCACCTTTGCCTCCTCTTATCCATCTATCTGTTCTGCTGGTGGAAGGGGGTTAAAAAAAGAAAGAAACCAAGGCTGCAACTCAGCATTTGTTCCTAGAAAATGGCAAAATACAAAATGCAAGTTCCTACAAAATAACGGACTTGCTTAACTTTGGAGCACATCAGTTGCTTTTGTGAAGTCCTCTCTCCCTCTGCACTGGATATAACCCTGTGACAGTACAAACTTTGGTGTCTGAAAATTAAAATTCCTTTGCGTGTTACAGTGGTTTTGTTTCAAGAGGACTTATGGCTCCCTGCTCCTTGACAGCTCTGCTTGGCACAAGGATTGCCCTGTATTTTTTGCTCTGCCTTCTTAGCCTCTAGCATGGATTCCCTCCAGCATTTCTCCTGTGATTGCTATTCAAATGCCTTCTGTGCTGAGAAGAATCTGAATTTCCTGTCAGCAGTAGGTTTCCACGCTTTGTCTGGCTGCCACTTCATCACATGCTTTAATCGCCACATCCAGGCTTACAGCGAGTAAGCTGGAGCCAGCCACCTCCTACCTCCCAATCCCCCCGGGTATACGGTATACGCCAGCCAGCCAACCACCTCCTCTGGAGGCTGGTGTGGTCACTTGATCTGCTTTGTTCTTTGGCAGCTGTGCTGACCTGCACCAGTCTTTATCTGCCTTCTCCTCCTCCCTTTGCAAAGGGTCAGCTTGTTTTTATGTATCTTAGGTCCAAAAGCAGCTCTAGGATTGTTGCTGCATAGACATGTAAAAAGGCAACACTCTGGAAGTGGGCTTCACAACGTCTGGTCAGATGCCCTATTCTCTACATGACAGATTTCAAGGGAAACTAGTTGGCACTATAAATTGGCTGTCCCCTATCCTGACAGTCTGATAATTTGGATGCCACAGTTCTGTTCCTAACTTGGGAGCACTTCTTCTTTTCTTTTTAAAAAATGACAGAGCTTTCCAGTTTTAAAAAAGGAGAGATTGGGGATGCCCTTACCCCCCAAAAGATCTTGTGTGAATGCTTTTAAAAATAAAAGTATAGACTAGCTCAAGCATGGAGGAGAGGAAGTGTGAGGACTGAGTCAATGGCAGAATTCCTATCTGTTGAAAAGGTAGGAAAGGTGTGAGGAAGGTAGTCTTGCCCCATGGGAAGGGGAAAAAACCCCTGTGGTGAATGCTCTTTTGATGTAGGTTTGTACACACCCTAAGTGCATTAATAGTTAAACTTTCAGCTCATAGCTTAAACTCACTAGACCACGAAAAGCCTCCATTAGTTACTCATGCTCCATTGCTCAACTAGAATATAATGCTGAAGGGTTTTTTCTCCCTGCCTCTGCTTCAACTTGAGAGGTGTTTTGGGGGACTTAACTCTTGAAAAGTAGTTCCCATAGCTGGATGCTTCTGGCACCCTTTTCTTAAGTTCCCCCCCCCCTTTGCATCCCCCCTCCTTCCTGAAAAATGCAGTTTTCCTTCACGTAGGCAGCAGATAAATATCTCCCTCAGTCTCATAGCTTTCAGGTATTTTGCAACATAATGTTTATGTCTAAATGCTATGTTAGTTTGGGAGCATTGCACGATTGGTGTATAGTTATAGCAGTGTTATACTGAGGTACAGATGAGGAGATTCTTAGAAGTATAAATGTCATGATGGGAGTATTTAAAACTTGATTTCCCTGAGATAATTCATAAGTGTCCTTCTGGGATGGGGATGATGGGAGAGCATTCTAAGAAGGCACCCTAGAAATACAGAACTGTTCTTTGTAAAAGATGTGATGTGGTGTCACATCATTGCTTTCAGTGTTTTCCTGCTATAGGTAGCCAGGAATGTGGGGTGAGGAGTGGATCTATAGAATAATGTGACATTGTGATGCAGTCCATTCACTTCAAAGAGATGTGTGACTGTCATTTTGGGTAACAACTACATGTTTACTATCACATCCAGTGGGGTAGCTTTGGGAGTACTTTCAGAATATAGAGTTGAAATAAGTGGATGTATATCTTAACACCTTTAAATAGCTGCTTGCTGCATAAAAATGTTTCCTTCAGTCCCAATCTA